GTCATGTACATGTGTAATCTGCAAAGCGTAAAAAAATCTGACAGAGCACCAGCTCCGCAAGCTAGACCGTAAAGAGCTTCTGTAAGAATTACCGAGCCATGGGCTTGAGTTTATATAATAGCGCGGACCCTAGTCGGGGCGTTGCTGCCATGTCGATGTCGATGTCGAATGTGAACAAGAAAACTGACAATAAGTAATTATTCTAGATCAACGTTAAGCCTATATACATCTATATATGCAAATTTCTAGTCTAGGTTCTACTGCTATCCATATCCTCGAACCCTAGCCATGTCTGGCGTTCGAAACATTACTGTTCCGTGGGTGCCGCTGGACGAGTTCGACTGGTCGTTCGCCCGCACCGGCCCACTACCCTGGAACCTGACAGTCTGGTAAGTGACAGACCAAGTCCGGAACCTACGGTCATCTGCTTGGTTAGGTAATAGCTTATGGACAATAGGTGTCTTCTCGCCGTCTTCACCTCTCTCCCAATATGGATGACCGTCGAACTTACTGCCTGGGTCCTCTATGCGTTTGAGCGGTGGAGCGGGATTTACTTCTGGTCCGTCCTCGCTACGACGTGGGGCCTATCGATCCGCGCCATCGGCTTCCTGCTCAAGTTCTGCGTGCCGCAGGCGAACTGGATATTGACATACGTGTTGTCGGAAGTCGGCTGGGTCGTCATGGTAACCGGTTTCAGCATCGTCCTGTGGTCGAGACTGCATCTCGTGATCCCGCCTAGCACGCGGATCCTGCGCATCGTGCTCGCCATGATTATAATCGACGGCTTCCTATTCCACGTGCCGACCGTCGTGTTCCAGTACTTCATATCGAATTCGAAGACGCACGTAAGGTACCTCCCGTACATGGACGTGATGGAACGTGTCCAGGTCTTGGCCTTCTCCGTGCAAGAGGCTGTTATCTCGTCCGTCTATATCTGGGGAACCTTGCAGATGCTCAAGCTATCCCTGAACGCCAAGGCCAAGAACACCCTGGCGTTCCTCATCATCGTGCAGGTAGCCGTCGTGCTGGCCGACATCCCCGTCATCGTGCTCGACTACTGCAACTACTTCACGCTCAAAGCCGTCATACACTCGTTCATCTACGCCTTCAAGCTGCAGATCGAGTTCGTTGTGCTCAACGAGTTCAAGCGCCTTGCCAACGGCGGGATAACGGGCGGTAATGGGTCTCTCGGGAGAGGATCTGATGATCTTGCTCCATTTAATGCTGGGCCTCTTGATGTACCGAAAGAGGGTAATAGCACCGGCGTGTATAATAACTCGGGTGTGTCGGTGGTTGTGTCGGCTGGTGGACCGCCGTCATCGAGAGCGAACCGGTCTGAGTCGACTGGTCAGCGTGCAGAGCAACCGGATGCTCTGGAAGCCCAATACCTAGGGAGGTATGGTGTGGCCATGTGATTTTTAAAGTTATTCAACCTATTTAGGGCCCCTTCAATATTATTATTCCAACAGCTTTACGGATATCCTTCACGAGAGTAACGTAGAATCGATTCTAACAACGCGGTGTAAGTGAGTAAACTGAAAAGTTAGCATCGTGGATAGTTTGAAATTATTCGACCACTGGTTAGTCTTATATTTTGCCACATATCCTAGACCACAGCTTCCGGTGACACTCCTTGGTGTATTGTCCTTTTGCTATCAGGGGGTGTTCTAGGCTCCATTTCTAAGGATTCGCTGTTGCCATCTCTCGGTCTAGTTGCGTTTCCAGAATATAGGACATCGGTACTATTTTCCCATGTAGCAACAGTGATGTGGAAAGGATCTGGGATGCCTCTCGGACTTTTTCTCTCTAATTGGTCCGTCCTTTCTCTGCCCGGCCAAATACGTTGCGAAATACCTCTGTTATGAACGGGGAGAGGCGTTCTCCGCCGTAGTACTCTCACAACAGAAGTACTCGCTACCGGCGCTGACCCAACGATCATAGCGACGGCTTGCTCTGCAGTCGCCATAATTAATACAATCGGATATATGACCGTCCTATTCTCACCATTTCCCTCGGGTATCTGGTAAGCGAGTCGCGCAATACTGACTAGTGGTGCTAACGCGCCAAAGGCGAATAAGGCCCAGATAGCCCATTTCCTCTTCCTTGCTGTATGGAGCTTCGATATGGAAGCAATAGGAATTACAAGCACTGCGATATCTGTGATGATGTTGATCGTCGAAGCCATTACCAATACCAACCATTGGTTGACACAACTATGGCCCCATGACAGATGGTAAGGAACGCATTGCAGCGTGGTCACGAGAATAAGAGCAATCGTATAGAGGAGGTTGAGCCATATGACAATCTGTATGACCCACCAGAATGCTGACTTTCCGGCTCCTATCGGGAAGAATATCCGAATATAAAGGAGCAGGATGGACAATCGGGCGAAGAAAATGGAGACTCGTGCAACCATTTGAACATCTAAGAACAGCTAGAATCAGGACAGAGATACTATTAGTTGTACGGTACGACGACGGAGAAAATAAGGGGCTTCGGCCTTACTTCGAGGAATCTTTTAAGTTCATCTTCTGGAACATCCCATATATTCACGCCGCCTCCATGTTCCATCATTAGAAGCTGTAATGCGCAAAGGCAGATAGTACCCATCCAAGCAAAAAGCATGGCCCCTTTTTACGCTAATTAGACTGCAGCTGAATATGAGAATGAGACCATAATCCGCACTTACAGTCATCCCACCACAGATGCTGGTTTATGAAGTATCTGGTACACATCCTTGCCAAGGTGAACGCTGTACATAACACGATCATCATAGTCATGACGCCTATCATCGTGGCAGAGCTGATAGGGGCTTCGGCCCGCGCTGAAGCACTAATGCCATCTCTCTGCCAAATCATCGGATCGGCGTGATAATTAAAAAGAATCAGAATCAGAATCAGAATCAGACTTCATTAAAAAAGCAAGCAAATTGATTAGGGGCTCCAACGCCTAGGCGTAAGGGAGTAGCCATATTATATGTATTAGCAGAATTTCAATGTTTGGACAGCCTTGCAGTAATTGAGTCGCACGAAAAAAAAGGAAAAGGAGAGGGAATAAATGCACCGAAGTTGAGCTGGTTGAGTTGAGCAAGACGGTGATCCAGCCGTAAGCTGCATATCCCCTCCCTCGCCTATTTGGGGCTGACATTACCTTGACGATCACCCATTCCGGGATTAATCTCCTTCGGCCCTCACGTAGCTTGGCTGTACCGCGTAATACAGGAAACGCTAGTTACTCCGGTAGCCAATGAGATACGCGTCTCGGACTTTTCTTTGTTCGACTGTGAATTTTTCACGGGCGAGCACTTTGTTCTACAAAAGGACGGAGGTATCCGTCTCTTCAAGACATTTCTGCCTTCTGCTTCTAGGTGCTTACTCGAAATATAGGTACATAATCTTCAAATTCGACGCCGATCTGGAAGCGCAGCACACCCTCCCACACCTTTATACATCCTCATAGGTCTATACACGCGCGCCAGAAATGAAGTATAATAACCGTTCAATCCCCCGCTTGGCATTCGCCCTGTTATTGCGAGGCGCGGCATCCCTACGACTCAACATAACAGCTATCGGAGCAAGAGATGGCTCTTCGACGCTCGAATGCTGGCAGATGAATACGCCGTTCAATTCCTCGTCGGACCCCGGGACGGCTGGAAGCCTTGTGACGGACCTGGGAGGTGTCTCAAACGTGTCCTACTCGATTATCCCGCCCGGATACGATGGCGGCTTACACCATGCGCCATATGCACAGTAAGTCGTATTGCCTTCCCCACGCCTCCTTCCTCCTCCCCTCACTCTTTAGAAAAAACAAAAAAAGAGCTGCGTCACGTCACGTCACGTTACGGCATGGTAAACGGAGTTAAATTACCGAGGTTAGGTTAGGTACCTGTTAAGTTTGTTTGGGTTACTAACGCAAGTGATTTCCTCTGTGACCAGGTGGGTGTCCTTCGCCAGCGGACTGGCGCACATCACGCTGCCGGACGACAGCAGCACGAGCGCGCTGGTGAGCGGGGGCGAGTTCGGGCTCATCTTCGCGGCGGACACGGCGCCTGTCAGCGAGCGCGGACACCGCACCCAGTACCTGGGCATCACCGAGACCATCGTGCTGCAGATCCCGACGCGCGACGGCGAGGTACCTGCGCACGACGTGCTGCACATGGGGCCGTGCGACTCGAGCGAAGTCGCGGGGGTTCGTGAGGTCGCATTCGCAGGGAAAAGTTAAGCGTTGATTACGTTCTTACCTGTAAACAAGTAGCTAGATGTATATTTCTTCACAGAACAAACCTGATGTAATATTCTATAGAAGTAGTAAATAGTCTTCTCGTGCTGCCTACTTAGACTTAGGTACCTACCTAATGCTTTCAGTTCTAGGTAATATTTTATGTTACAATTATCATCGGGTGATAATTTGCCAATAACTCGTACCCCGGATATAATAAGCCACCAATTACCTCGGTGACTTAAAGAAGACTTATGAGCTTATGTTTATTTGCTTGCCAGGTAACCAGTCATTTCTATCCAAGGTCTACATGACCTGATACCGTAAACGCAGGCCTAATGTGGATATGACAGGTAAGTATTCCGTATTCGTATTTCAGCTTTGGGTTTTAGATTTGTATGTGCCTACTTAATGTTATCTACTTACTTCGAGCCCATATCTTTAACCTGGTGTCGTAATGTTTTAAAGACGGATATTGTTACAAGGGCATGTTTGTGTTTGGAGTTACATTACGGAATATGTCGATCCTAAAGTACGGAATAAGGCAATGCGCATTTATACATAGCTGGTGCGATCCGCTCCGCCGGCAGGCCGGCTCTTTGTTCCTGACTAGTTTGCACCATACAGTGGGCCAGTTGTACTAGTCAACCGGGGCTTCCCACACTCAAAATCAACCAACTCGAAACCTAAGCCGGACTAGGAAAGCCGATAATGCTAGCGTAGTGAGTTGGGACGAGGAAAGAAAAAAAAAATTGAGAAAAAAAGATGAGAAAAAGTTATAGCGAGCTCAGCAGGGATCGAACCTGCAATCTTCAGAGAGCGGAGTACCATTAAGTGGAACCGAAATCTGACGCCTTACCATTAGGCCATGAACCCCTTGACACTGGTTTAACAGCTCAGCTAGTTGTCACTATATCTCAGTGCGCACCGGCGAGGTTTTTCAAAATTCGATAATACTGTTTTTTTATATGTTAGTGAAAACGGCATTTATTAGGTATACTCGAGGTCGAGTAGGAATTCGCCAAATTGGAAATCTGGCAGTCCACGAGGTACACGCCGTAGTTCTCCTTGTCGCCCTTCGTCGTCGGGAGGCCTAATTTCGGACCCAGCGCGGCGACGAGGCTCGTCGCGGCACCCGCGCCCAGCGTCTTGAAGGCCTGTCGCCCGCTCGCCGCCTAGTCGGTAACCAGGGCCTTAGTGTCGGGCGCGGCGTCGCGGATGATCTCCGTGTCGACGACGCCCGGGTGCAGGGCGAAGCTCAGGATGCCGTGCTGCTCGTACAGCCGCCTGTTCAGCGCGACGCTGAACAGCACGTTCGCCACCTTGCCCTGGTTGTACCCCTCCATCGGCAGGTATGACCTCTCCTGCGCGTCCGCGATCACCCACTGCTTGTGCATCTCGTAGGGCGGCTGCTCGTCCTCGGGCAGCTCCTTGTTCTTCCTCGCGTAGTGGATGTCGCTCCAGCGCATGCGCGCCGCCGTGGGCGACAGCGACGAGACGTTGATAATACGGGTCGCGCCCTTGGGGTTATTCTCCGCCGTTACCGCCTTGCGGAGCTTCGGCATGAGCAGGCAGGTGAACTGGAAGTGCCCGACGTGGTTGGTGGCGAACTGGGTTTCGAGTCCATCTTCGTTGAGCGTGAGCTCGGGACCGATGAAGATGGCTGCGCTGTTAACGATGATGTCGATGACTGGGATATCGTCCCACGAGAGAAGCTCGGCGGCCGTGGCCCTGACGGTTCTCTGCGTGGAAAGATCGAGAATGAGAGGGCGGTAATCTACGTTGGGGAATTCTGCCTCGAGCTTGTCGATGCTCTCTTAGATCTTGGATGGGGTGCGGCTCGCGAGGATGATATGAGCTGGTGACTGAGAAGCCTGTATGTGAGTTAGTTAGAATATATAACGATATGTGAAAAAAAAAAAAGGGGGGGGGGGGGGGGGTGCCTACAAAAGCTTGTACTGTTGCAAATCCAATACCAGCGACATGAACACCCGTTACAAGAATCGTTTTGGCACGGATCTTCCCGGCAAAAGCTTTGGCAACCTCTAATGCCTCTGTGTGGTCGTTAAACTCGGGGTGAGTTGTAGTCGTCATTTTGATACTCAGCTTGTATGTTATGCTGACGTCCAGCAAGTGCTCAATGAAAGATACTCTGTAAAGAGGTAGGTACGATATCAATATATGACGTTCGATTGGAATTGGCACTCATGGTTTCTTGGTTGGTATTCATTTCTCATTTATATAGTTGATTCCCTTTCTGTCCTATCTCATACGTGTAGCCTTTTTGAAATTGGAATTATTCTGAACTGATCCGCGGACTCCGTTGATCAGAGTTGCATTCCAAATAACTACGCCTTTTTGCTATACTAATAGCAGTATGATTTTCAACGAACTTTATAACATAGTACTCGAGGATACAAAATGCTAGCATGTATATGTTTTATAAATGAAAGAGTCATAAGCTCAAGTGCTCTGAGCTATTTCTTGACTTGTACTTTGTAACGATTCATATCTCCAAAACCTGTGCACTTTCATGATGTACTGTGTTGGGAATCTTCTGACACTTGAGGATATATGCAGCCGATGGAGATGTCGGAATTGGCGGAGGTAATCCATGAATAGTATATAAGAGAATTTCTTTATTATGATACGTCCCGCGGCACAGCAATGGAGATAAGCCTCGGAGACATTGCGTGACAGCATTAACTTCGCACTTGGTTCAACTTGGGACCTCGCTAGCGAACTTGGTTGGATGAATTTACCATGGAACGGATTGATGATTATTCTCATTCATTACTGCGGCTGGAATGCAAATGGCATACCTATATCCGCATACTCATACTCATATAATAACTGCTCTGATGAGGCAGTACCCAGTAGATAGTACATAAAACCTTTAACACCTAAAAGTGAAGCTTGTTCTTCGGGGGTAACGCCCAGCCCAATGTATCCACAACGCTTCAAACCAGGTAGCCTTCCCGAATTATTTTATTCCCTCCTAAAACGCCGGAATCCAAAGAACCCATTTTCCCATCTCGATCGACGAGGTATTTCGCCGTCCCAATCCTATTTTTATATTTGTATTGTCCTCGAAGCCAGGGATTACTTATCAACACCCGAAACGCAATACTGCGACGGTATCATGTTGACATCCACCTGCTTCACTCTGATCGGCGTGCTCCCCTCGAAACGTCTTGCGCTAGTGTCTGCTGTTTGACGATACTAGCGCGGATATGAGTCCGGGGGTGCACGTGCTCTTCTGCCGTGCTGAGACCGGCTTGAAACGCCGAAGCTCTCTATCGCCCCAGAGGCTGATTCAACTTATGCCGACATTCTTCTGTGGAGAAAGACGGGGAATTCGAAGCCGTCTTCGAAGCTCAGCGCATTCCTTCGGTGGTGCGAGGGAATGTGGTACATGTCGTAGGCGTTCTCGTCTTCGTCCAGGGCTGACTCGCAATCGCTGAAGGCTGGGCTGCCGACTTCGAATGAGTATATTTGGACTTCCTGCGAGGGTGTGTTCGTCTTGCTCGGCATTGGAATAGCGATGGGCTTGGTTTGTGCGGTGTAAGTGGTGCTTTGAGCCATGTTTAGAAATTGGTTGTATGTGTATGTGTATGTGTATGTGTCGTAGTGTTTGATATTATCTGTGATTGTTCAAGATGCTGATATTGGCTTTTTGGTAGTAGATGCTGTGAATAGAAGAAAAAGGGTCCTTCCATGATTAGATCGATCTAGTTATATATTCAGATCGAGTGATCAAGATCCCCAGTTCATGCCGAAAGGTGGGCTGAGAGAGCTCAACGAGTAAACTATGGACCACCGAGCCATTCTCGTCTCACGGGAAAACTATAGAGAGTTTCAGAGTCATTTTTTCGATGCACTCGAATGCTCCGAAATGCGCAGTAATTGAAAGTGGGCTCAAATGGTGTGTTTTTTCGAACCAATGCGTTGACGATCGTATGACCGGGACAAACCGGCCGCTGCGGAAACGCCGCGAATTGGCAAAGCCAGCCGCGTACCGTCACTTACATAATTTAACCGGGCGACTAATCGTCTGGGGAAATCCTGGAGTCTTCCTGAGGCAATTGTCTGGACTCATCTAGCCTGAGGCGATTTCCGGTCATCCCCTGAAATTGTCAACGTTGAAAAAGCACCTAATGTCTTTGAAGCTTAGCATTGACCAACCAAAACCATCGGAGATAGGGGCTTGTTTAAGTTATCCAAGATTTATCAATACTACATAAGACTCTTAATTGGACCCCCCTGCCTCATAACGGCCATGCATTTTCACAAGGATATCTTGTGCTCTAACAAAAAAAAATCAGGTAACTAACATATATTATTGCATGAAGAACCTAACTTCGTATGGTTTACTGTTCAATAGTATATGAATTACTTACGTGTACCGTCTCAACCGTGACACAAACAACATCCCCATGGTTCTTAATCTTCTTATTAACATACAGTATCTCGATATCGCATCCACTTCTTGGCACTCCACAGAAAGCTCCATTTGCCCTCCGAATTTTTTTGCTAACAATTTTGACAGTCATATGAACGGAAAAACAAAGCCATAATGCTGTAGTCTCAACAAATCCACATTTTTAAGTAGACATGGCTGCCGTATTCCACGATGGAGACACTTCTCTGATTTCGAACGCGAATACGATTTTGCCATCAGGTGGTTGGGAACGCCATGATTCCAAAAAAGTTTGCTTATGCCCCATATGTTATTGGAGCAGTGACAACGGGTTGTGGCTTTGAAAGGAGTCAACAAATTATTTGCATTTTCTCATGTCGGACGTGGCTGCTTGAGCCCGCAGTAAACGCTGCTTGGCGTCCTGTGAGTTACTCCGAAGGGTTACACGATGAGTCTGGATGCTGCAGAGTTCAACTGATCGTTTCCCCCGCGTCGACTTTCACATGTCGCCACGCCGTTCAAATGTGGTGCGTGTTCCAATATGCAAGCGATACATCAATCACCTTAAGGAGAAACCGACCTCCTGAGAATCAGTCTCCACGTGACCCTTAGTAGACACGAGTCCAGGTAGTGAACTTAATCAATAATATAGATTCGATGGCTGATTGGACCAGAGCTCAGAACTACTGCAGGGTGGTGTTATCGAGAATCCTTCTTGAACGATAGTTGACTTGGGGAAATAGTTCGGGCTAGGTGTAGCGTTGAAATATCATACCATTACTTGACCACTTATGAATCATATCCAAGTTCTACAAAACTGAAGTAGTATTCCGTAGTCGACACGAATGTAGCCCCAGACCCCAGTGAAAATAGACGATAGTAACTTTGGAACGAAGAGTGTTTAATAGTATCTGTAATGAAACAGAAATGTCAATCTATATCGTTCGATACCTCGTGACTAAAGTTTGCAACGCGTTGGATGAATCGAAACTTCCTAGAGACGATCTTTAGATGGCTACCCAAGTCCACTTTGCTTCTTCAATTATCATGCTAAGACCGTGAAATATACCTAGCTGGCCCATGATTAGGTACTATTGCCGGAACTACGGAAGTATCACATAATGGGTCCCGCCCTCAGATGGCTCCAGACTATTTCCGCTAAGCTGTTTTGCCATACGGAAGATAACAGGTTTATGGGAATTAATTCAAAGCGTTGACTGGAAGATTGGGAATAAGGAAGAGGCCACACTTAGTAGACTAGGGATTCAAAACCAAAATTCAAAGTGTCCATAATGTCTTAAAACCTATAGGTCTATATAGTCTTACGAGGCTCACAATAAAAATAAATGGCAAGATGAGTATAATGCTAATGACCAGAAAGCACAGAGTCGTACAGTACAATGTCATGCTATGATTGCACTGTAATCATGGAAATTTTATCAACCACTCCTTTATT